TTGAAGATTCACTTCAGATGTCACATCTCTAAGCAACCGCCTCCGTTATGTGGTGTGGAAATCGAGTCAGATGGCTCAGAGGAAAAGCTCTTAAGAATATTGTTAATGCAGAAGTACCAGCATGTTTGTCTTCACAATAGTGCAAGAAAGCTGTCATGTTTTGTTCTTTGAACCTGCCAGTTGTGTTGTGCTGGTGGATCCTTTGCCCTGTTTGAAACTACTACACTCAGTTTTTTCACTCCTGGTATCAGCTGTACTGCTCCTCAAAAACCAACACAAAGTGTCATTGTGTACGGGCTTCCTTCATTTCCCTGAATAGTTTTTGACGAGCCCAGAGCGTGAGTGGCCTTTTGTGTACAAAGACAGAGACCTAGTGAGACACTGAGAAAGAAAATCATCTTTTCTTCCCAAATGGCCGTTGGTCTGAACAACAGGCGGAGTAACGTGTTTTTGTTGAAGACGACCTAGAGTCACGTCTATTTATTTATTTGTTTGTTTATTTATTTATTTATCATAGACTTTATTGCCCTGTGCATCGCCTCTGCTGCTTTTCATCGCGGACACATTTGTCCCGTATTTTCCTCCACAACTTTGTTCACCTCTCGACCGGCAAACCGGCGTTGGTGGCGATCTCCCTCTGTGAAGCCAACCCGCTTCTACAACCCGCCAATGACGACTTGTATACGCGGTCATATTTGCGCATTTCTTCCGACAAAAGTTCTTCAATCTGATCCGTTCTCTCGTAAACATTCTTCTTTTTAATAATGGCGGTATCGGGCTATGAAAGCGGAAATGTGAGACTCCGTAAAGGACGTAGTTAGCGGACCAATCGCAGCCTGGTGCGCTGCGGGAGGCTTCGACGCAAGCCTAGAAAAATGGCTCGACACACGCAAGGATGCAAGGAGGTGTGAAAAGCGACGCTCGGAAAACAGAAGCATAAATCAGGCTTGAGTGACACTAAAACCTCATTGATCGGCTTCAGCCACAATGTGTAGTTTTGCACAGCAGGTTGGTCCTTCGTTAAAGTGAGAAAAGTTAAACATGTAATAATGAGATATGTTCAGGAACATTTTTCCTGAAAAGAATCCAGCAGTTAAACGGCTTTCTAAAGCATTTAAAAGCAAATTGGCCTCATGTCTATTTCTTTAGATGTGTAAACAGAGAGAGGTGTCGCCCCCCCACCCCCACTACCCATAAAGACGTCGCTTACACGCCCCGCGTGCTTTGCTCCGGCTTCACTGTGCCGAGTGTGAGCTGTGCTCGGGGGGGCTGAGCGGCACATCGTTTGCATCCCACAGGGCCGGGGTCGGTCAGACAGGCACAGAACCGTGGGGGTCCCCTGCCTGCTGAAGCTCTGCTCCTCGGGGGGGGTTCTCTGTTAATATGCAGAGCTGCTCAAGTGTGGTTTTTTTGTTGTTGTTTTTTTTAATTGCGAAAGGCAGCTCACGTGGTCCATGGGAGGGCTATTGTTTTCACCACTCATCTCCGAGCCCTGTATCCATCTTTTGTTGCGGCTCTTTTGTTGTGGGTATCCTGGCAACAATTAGACCCAGATGAATAGGTGGTACAGTAGGCTGTCTGCGCTGAGACATGACTGTGTAAATCATGGAAGAGGGACTTAACGAAGATGCCGGTCATTGTTTGCTGAAAAGCGCCGTCAAGAAGAGGGGCTTCTTTGCTGGACGTTCTAGGAATCAGGAAACATTTATTAGCCAAAATATGTCAAACATACAAGGAATTTGTCTTGGCGGTTAGTGCGCGACAGTCGACAGACAAGACAACAGTGCACAAGTAATAAAATAAAGTGGAATGAAATGCTAATGCAATGGGTTAGTAGAATAAGGCTAAGGCTATGGGTTAGTATAAAACAAGGGAATAAAGTTTAAAAAATTTAAATATTAAAAAGTTAAAAAGAAAAATATTAAGCATAATGTGCACTAACGAACAAGTAACAGACAAGAGACAAAGTGACAAGTGACAAAGTGATGAATTGCAGTTAAAGTGGCATGTGCAGTATGAGGGGGAGTGACCGGTGGAATGTTATAGTCAGGCAGTGGGGGACCGGGCTCTGTTGATGAGCCCGACTGCCGACGGGAAGAAACTGTTCGTGTGGCGGGAGGTCTTAGTCCTGATGGACCTCAGCCTCCTCCCAGATGGAAGTGGCACAAAGAGTTTTTGTCCGGGGTGAGAGGGGTCGGCCGCGATCTTTTTAGCTTGCTTCAGAGACCTGGAAGCGAACAAGTCCCACAGGGACGGCAGATTGAAGCCGATCACCCTCTCTGCAGAGCGGATGACATGCTGCAGCCTGCCCTTGCCCTTGTCCTTGGCTGTGGCTGCAGCGTACCAGATGGTGATGGAGGAGCAGAGGATGGACTCGATGATGGCCGTGTAGAAGTGGACCATCATCGTCTTTGGCAGGTTGAGTTTCTTCAGCTGCCTCAGGAAGAACAACCTCTGCTGAGCCTTCTTGGTGATGGAGCTGATGTTCAGCTCCCACTTGAGGTCCTGGGTGATGATGGAGCCCAGGAAACGGAAGGAATCCACAATAGTGACGGGGGAGTCACACAGGGTGATGGGGGAGGGTGGGGCTCTGTTCCGCCGGAAATCCACAACCATCTCCACTGTCTTTAGAGCGTTGAGCTCCAGGTTGTTCTGGCTGCACCACGACACCAGATGGTCAGAATCCCACCTGTAGGCGGACTCGTCCCCACCAGAGATTAGTCCAATGAGGGTGGTGTCATCCGCAAACTTCAGGAGCTTGACGGACTGGTGGCTGGAGGTGCAGCTGTTGGTGTACAGGGAGAAGAGCAGAGGGGAAAGAACGCGGCTTTGGGGGGGAACCGGTGCTGATGGTCCGAGAGGCTGAGACATGTTTCCCCAGCTTCACGTGCTGCTTCCTGTCAGACAGGAAGTCTGTGATCCACTTGCAGGTGGAGTCTAGAGGACTCCCAATTATTTTACACGGTGTGAGTAACTTTCTTTCCACGTTAGTGACTGTAGAGTCGTTATACCGGCAACACATTTCCTTACGGTGAAGAGCCGTGACAACTTTTGTCTCTGAGGCAGCAAAATATATTGTCCAGCGCTCTGTGTCGAGGGTGCAGCGGGCGAGCTGTTTCTTAAGTGTATTGAGAAGTATTTATATTACTGTGGGTACTTTTGCTTGCCACCTTTTTTGAAGGTCCGTGTTCGACAGCTTCCCCGGTAGTGGTTAGATGTTATTGCACATCTGTCCTGTGTTTTCTCTCATCTTACTCATCCCGATGACAAAGGAATTTTTAGTTTTGTTCTTCTTCAGGCTTTAATCTTAGAAAAGTTTAGGTGTTATTTCGATTGGGGGAAAAATGTAGGTTATATTTTTACACGTAGGCCTTGAAGCCAGACTCGACCGTTTTTTGACCACAGAACCTTTTACGTACCATTTCTTGTGGTTTGCTTGTCACCATAATTTCCATCGATCTTCCCGCCATCTTCAGCTTTGTATGATGTGAATCAACAACAACCGCCTGATCATTGATTTGGTGTCGACATTACTTAGTCCACTCAATATATCAATCAAAAACCATTTGGCTTGGACATTCGAATAAAGCCTAATTTCCAACTGTTTGGATCACAGTGTTGCTCTCTGGCTGGGTGAGACCTTTAGTATCTAGTTAGCAGTGTAGCGTCCTCAATGGGCCTCTACTTGCCCTAAAAACTGTAGCTCACAGATATGTTCTCTATATCTCCAGTATATTTGTTAATCGTCTCATTTCTGTGGTCAGCTTTCCATTGATGGTGGTGGTTTCTCTGCCCAGTGAAGCAGAGAAGGGAGCTCCCATACCAACAAGTCCACTGACGATGTCGACCCAAAGCCTGATGACTCAGTTTTAAACGTTGGATGATATCTCCATCTAGTACCCAGTGTAAACTGTAAACTTTACTAAAAATAAACACCTGCCACCTACAAAAGAAAAAAGGGTACAGAAGTGCAGCTTTTGATGCAAAGCACAAATGGTTGTGCTATTATATTGTAGCCTTTTTAAAATGGTTTAATGCATGTAGGATGTGGGAGCCTATGACTCTAGAGCGACTGATAATGAAATGCCAGCTTATATAATTTACTAGTATGCCATCAAATGGCCATCTGGTATTAATGCTTTGATGCCCATAACATGGACCAATTTTAATAAACAATATAATTGAAGTTACAACATATTTTGTTGTTCTCTACTATTTCCTGCTCAGCCCATAGTGTCTTTGCACCCTCTTCTTATAGTATGTGCAGTGTTTCCCACTCAAAGACACAAGGATTTAAGTATTAACTTATACGCCGTTTCCTCTGGTATCCTACGAGTGGTGAATAGTGAGAGTTATTGTGGTGTCATTTCCTGATACTCACTTCTGCTTCCTCATTTCCAACCACACGGCAAATACTGCCATTCCCTTTCAACACGGGTTAAAACACATGAGGTCTTATCTGATGCACCTGAGGCTCATTGTTGAGAGACTAGTCCTAGGTGGATCAATGGGAATCCATGCATGCAGATCAGACGGCAGTGTGTAGTGAGGGAGTGTCTGCACACTTTCCTGCTCCAAGATCAACAGATGATGTCAGTCAGTTCTAACGTGTGTAACATTCCCCTTTCAGTGTTTATTCCTCGGATATATTTTACTTTATTTGTTTTGATATAATGAACCACAACTGGCTGACTTTAAGTGTATAAAGTCAGCTTGTTGCCATCATTAAAATTTTTATTTCTGGCAGAAGTAAGCACTCAGATCTCTTTCGGCGGCGATGATGTAGCAACGCACCAGGAAAGGCAGTGAAGAAGACGACTCTACAGCAAACATGGGTGTAAACAATGAAATTAGCATTAGAAAATGTGCCTGGGATGTTCAAAATGTTAGATCTCAGGTGTTGTGAAGAGGTGTAACATGGGTGTGAAAAAAAAACCTACTAAAAATGGATATTATTCACAACATTGTTTAACCACAAGTGTCTTTATTTTTCCTCAAAGTAACGGAATGGGGTGACGATGTACGGCCCATCTCTGAAGAAGAAGCAATGGTCATCGTCAACCACCAGTCCACGGGAGACGTGTGCACCCTCATGATGTGCCTGCAAGACAAGGGCATGGTAAGAACAGAGAAACGTGCATCAAGCCATCGTACAAATCGTGCATCACACAAAAGCTGGATGTTTAAACCTGCAGAGTGCGTGACTGCTGCTTCTTTCAAAATGGCCACAATGTTTAACTTTATGACTGTTTATTTAAGACGGATAAAGCTGAAGAATACTGCGCTCATGATGATACTCCCATATATAACACCGTGCACTGTGCACTGCATTTTATCCAGTGGATCCTTCAGGATGAAAGCTGTGTGTTGGCAAATGGAAGGATGCAGCTGCACGGTCGGGCCGACCGGTGGGAGATTAAGCTAACTGGGTTTTGTTTTTGTACAAAGGTTAGCCAACCTTGTTTGTTTCACGTGTCAACAATCAACAAGACAGCAGGCAGTACATTTTGTAGTACCGTCGAGTGACAGGACGGTGCTTTTTTTGGGGGGGGGTTTGCCCAAACAGTCGTGACTGGGGGCCTGGCAGAGCGTTTGCTGCAGTCAAAGGACGCAATTGGCAAAGCTTAGAGACTGCTGCTTTGCATTCTTTCACACACGTTGCTTTCAGGGAAGTGAAACATCTCCAGTTTCTCTTGTTTGGACGTGAGCCATTAAAAGAGAACATTCTATACTGAAACGTATCCTTAATTGGCAAAGTTAAACCGTCGCCACCAAACAGTTGCACGTAGACGTGGCTTCTTTTCCTCAAATACACTGCCAGCAGAAGTGGGTTCGAAGCGTCCCGTCGTCTATAAAACGGCTGCATCCGCAAGGCGGGCAGCTTGTTGTTTGCTGCTCAAACGGTGCAGGAGGTCGTCTGGGAATTGTGGATGGGTGGCAGCAGCTGTGTTGTGTGTGTCGCAGCACTGGTTCTGCCTAGCTAGGCTGCACAGACATGATGACGTGAGCCGCCTCAACAACCGCATCGCTGGCCCAGTTTATCCTCTTAGCACTGAAAGGACAGTAAGCCAAAGCTGCCAATGGCTGCAGGGTCCGAGGGGCGGTATCAGTTCCGGATGCTGGATGCTTTTGATTACAGGTGAATTGGTGGATTTCGAGATTTTCATTTTTAATTTCTCTTCCCTTTTTTTCTGTTTAGGTGGTACAGAAAATGATGTGGTTGATGGACCATGTGTTCAAATACACCAACTTTGGCCTAGTGTCCCTGATCCACGGGGACTTCTTCATCAGACAGGTAAGACCCAAAGGTCGTAGTCCTTTAACGTCGTGTGAAGTGTTTGTCGACGTGTCTTTTATTCGGCCATTAGCCAACTCTGCATGTCACTGTAGAGACGACACAGCAAGAATACAATGTCGCCGGTACAAGACGGACCTCGCGTGTGTCACCACCTCGTTCTTCCCCTGAAGGTTTTAGCGTTTTAGCGTAACTAGCGTCATTGGACCTTTTTATGCTGCAAGTCCCTCAACCTCCCGGTTTCTACAGCACAACCCATCTGCTCGTCCCAGCTGGACAGCAGACACGTTTGTGGGATTCCTCCGGCCGTGGGCGTCCTCTGAGGAGGAGAACTGCACTGGACAGCAGTGTGGGAGGGCCGCTGAGCCCCGCAGGGTCGGACTGACCCCTTTTGTTGTAGCGGGCAGGGCTCCTGACGGTCAGGGTATTCCTGGAACGTTATGCAAGTTTGGGAGGTTTACCCCACACAGGGAACAGGGATTTACCACCAGGGTCATTCACAATTTTAATATATGTGTATGTCTGCAAGATGCAGCAAAGCCGTAGCTTTATTTGCACATGACATAACAGGCTGACATTTTTATGCATCAGTTGGTACCAGAACCTTCAAGTAACTGATATATGTTTGAAATATATTACATCCACTAGTAATAATCCATTTTGCAGGCGGCTGACTGGTTAGCATTAGCTACCCAGCAAGTGGGGAGGGGCTGAATAAAGATGACAAAAGATAATGTCTTTTTTTTTTTTTTAAACAAACAGAGCACAGATTAGTGTGCAGTCGTTTGTCAGCCTGTCCTGTGTCACTACAAGACATCTGGAGTCATAGCTGTGTCACAATGAAGGCGTTTGACGTTTGAATTCATGGAATAAATTCCCGACATTGCTTGGCCCTTTTTTAGGTCATGGAAATGCTTTGCCATGGAATTTCCCATCAGGCACTGTGCCGAGGGTGAAGCACCTCGAGCCGGCTTACGGCCAGAAGGCCTGCAGCAGGAGGCCAGAGCCCTTTTACTGCCGTCTGTCTCTCGCCGTGATCCCCTCTGGCAGGGGTGTGCGTGCATTGCTGACATCCTTCCCCAGAATACCTCACGTCCACGCAGCACAGCCGGGCCTCTGCTGCAGCTTCCCGAGCCTCCACCGTCTCACTGTCCGCTAACACCCTTGCGTTTGGCACAGCACGTTTAAGGAAATGTGTGTGAAAGAATGCAAGCCTTGTTCTTTTTTTTCTTTTTTTTTTTTAAAGGAAAATTTAATATTAATATGCTGAAATGATTTACACAAGAAATACACGGTAGCTTAGACTTTCAATTCACGTTGATGCATAATCATTAATGTTGGCCTACTATTCCTTATTTAGTTTGCTATTCAAGTTTTTTTCGTGGTAATACATTTATGCAAAAAAGAAACGCAATGTATTTTACTACTGACCTGGATTTTGATATGTCAAAGCTTCCTCACTTCGGTTCATGTAGCTGCCGTAAAACCACACAGTCCCGTCTAGGTTTGTTGATGCGTGTTTCTATCTTTGAATCAGAGATTCTGCTACAATGGCAGTTTTCTTTCCTTCACTTTTTCCCACGTGTGCTCACATGTCGGGGGTCTGCGATGCATTCAACAATCTGAACATCAATCCGCTCCTCTTTGTGCCGATGCTCTTAATGTTGCCATCATGTTTCACATCCGTGAAGTTTCTGCATCTAACGTATGATTTGGGTTTGCTGGCTGTTTTTTTTGGTCAGCACACATCTTGTTAAGTTACTGAATTTAGCACTTCGCCTCAATCATTATGTTTTATTAACTGAAAGTGTGCTGAAAAACTGCTCTTTCAGACTTAAAGGGACTAAATCCTGGCATTGTGCATTTTGTTGTTCCCACAGGGTAAAGCTCACCGAGACAAGCAGCTGATTTACCTGAAAGATCACTTAGAGAAATACTACCACAGCCGCAACAGGAAGTGGATAGTGCTGTTCCCGGAGGGTGGCTTCCTGCGAAAGCGGCGGGAAACCAGCCAGTTGTTTGCCAAGAAGCACGATCTCCCCCACTTGACCCACGTCACGTTGCCTCGTCTCGGGGCCACCCAAGTTATCCTGAAAACCCTGTCGGCCCAGCAGGAGAACGGCAGCGTGAGCAGCGAGTCCGGGACCCCCAACCAGAGAGGTAGCTATTGTAACTATTGGCAAAAGCTGCTTCCTTTTTTCACTTCTAATATCTGTGAAATGTTGCTTTTGACCAAATGTGACCCGGTGTTGGATGGAGCGCAGTTCAAACGTGAAGCCTTAAATCACGGCCGCTGTAGCCCTCTGTCCTCTGGGAGGAGCCGTGGCGACGGCATCCAGGGACGTACCAGAAATTGCAACGAAGTCGCTGAAACCCCAGGTGGTTCTTTGTAGGAAAGTCCTTTTTCTGTCTAGAGACCAGCCCCAATTAGAGCAAGAAAAGGATGTATGGGAACAACCTGGGTTTTATTTACACTATGTTTCAAATAGATGGAATTTATTTCTTCTCTTTATACATCGGGAGTATTGCAAGCGAGAAGCACAGCATTAAAAAAAAACACAACCACACAGATGCAGAGAGTTCCTCCTGCACTCTCCCTCTACCGAGCGGTCGCTCCTGGCTTTGGTATTTTTTGAGGGTGTGCCGTGTTAATAGTCACTTGGAGAGACTTTGGCCCGTCCACCAGTTTGCTAACGCAGCTCCGTGTCCGACAGCCTCAGCACTGATGTCTGTTCGGCCCTCTGCACGACCGACCGCCCGGCCCAAGGAGGACTATTTTTTAATCAGCTGTCGTAAAAATGTAGATAAAGACAAGGACGGCTTCAGTTTTATGTCACGCGTGCAAGTTTTTGGGGAGGGGCTGGGTGGGTTCTGTAAATTTACCAAAGAAGTCAACAATGGCGAGAGCAGATGTTTGGTTTATGACTTCAGGCCCGGAGGGGATTTTAAAAACATTTGAGGGTCGATCCTTTTTCATGTCACATTATATTTCCCCTTTCGCATTGTGTAGTTCCACTTCGTATCCCACTTGTTTCCCTTTCTTGCTGTGCGCTTTCGGTCTGTTCTAGCCAATCGAGAGTAGAGTAAGCTGGTTGCTGCAGTAGAGCCTGTCCTTCCATTTGAATCTAGCTAATGGCATTAAAACGTAGGGCAAGAGAAAACAGACACACACACACACACACACACACACTCGGCTTGACAATCCTCCCTCACTATGCTGTGTGCGCACGTGCATGCTCCCGGCTGATCAAAGACACAGCTCTGTCTGCCGCTGACCCTCCCTGATGCTCTGCAGAGGTTCCTCCAGCCTGCTGACTCACTCGGAGACAAATGGGCCACTTGGAGTAAATGTGATTTGATGTAAATGTGTGTGTGTGTGTGTGTGTGTGTGTGTGCCGTGTATCAGCCAATGTCAACAGTGCTAGAGTCACTGCTCGGCACCAGACACTTTGCTCACTGGTCAACAGGGAAGTTCACAGCCTGCAGAAACCCTCTGCGTTTTTCTGTGTTTATAAAACTGTTGTTTTACACCTGCTAGGTTTGCAAAGTTCAGAGCCGTGAGTCATTCAGGGTGGAAACGGAGCTCCGCGTGACGATAGCACTGACTAACAGGCGGGGGGCAGTTCCCGGCCACGTTCTTAGTCGGTGGGAGGGAACCTTTGGGGGTTTCAAGTGTTGTAATTGGCCCCCTGGAAGTGGCCTGATGGAGAGCCAGGTATCTGCCGGTGTGTTTCCTTCCTCCCGGCTGTTTACAGAAGGACCGGCGCCCTCCGGCGACACTTTGAAGTGCTGTTGTTATTACAACGGTGTTTGCCACAGCACACAGAGGCACCGGCGATACTTCGGCGCAGGGCCCGGTTCTTTGGCCGTCCGCTCACAACAGACTTCTAACGCTCTCGCACAGACCAGATCCAATTACCCACCCAGGGATGGTTGTGTTGATGCCATTCCCTTAAATACCAAGGATGCCTATCAAGTCACTGTTACAATGATATCAATGAGCCAGCAGCCATTTCCTCAGCGGCTTGTTTTTGTATTGGGATCAGCCTCGGACAGCCAGCTTGGTTCGCATTGTATTTTGATATAATAGATCAACTGGGACATTATAAGTGGAATAAAATAACGGTAATATAAGCTTTAAATACTTGCCAATCCAATATTGTCACCCATAGATGCGAAAGGCCCATCACAGTATAGACTGCATGGCACATTCTATTAGCATCGACATCATCATATTTTCTCCCCTGATGTCTCCCCATGTTTTAAATATTCCAGTAGCCGGTCCTCTAAATCAGTGGTCCCTGACCACCGCGCCGCGTGGGCCGTTTGGTACCGGACCGCACCACAGAAAGCTTATATATTTTTTTTTTTCTGAAAAATGTTTTATTTTGAAAATTGACCGGATTTTCTCCTAATTATGTGTGCTCCTCCCTCTGACAGATTCCCCACGCGTCACCAGGCGTTTTTCTCCACGTTTATAATTGTCCTCTTACCGTGCACGGCAGTTTCGCCCACCAGCGAACACAGAGCGCGCGTCTACTACACCCCCCCCCCCCACCCCGTCGGACCTTCTCGACCGGTCCGCAAACTATTGTCTGACATGAAAACGGTCCGTGAGGTAAAAAAGGTTGGGGACCACAGCTCTAAATGACTCTTGTCTTGGTTACTATTGTTGACAAACAACCGAAAAGCGATCACATCGAAGGAACATTGCGGTTGCAAACCCTAATGCCGTCTCTCACATGTTCCAGTTCATACCAAAGTTTGCCAATCATTGTCAAAAATGTAGCTCTGCCCTGCGGGCGCGGCGTGTTCACCTCGCACAAAGACGTCAGTGTTCTCGGAGAGAGAAGTGCTCAGTAACAGCAGCCTGTGACCCCGTGGAGCGGTCAAAGGCACACTGCTGGACCGGCCCGTGCCGACCGAGGCTGCTGCTGTGCTGCTGTTTACTCCTCTTCTAATGTTCCACAAGCCCCTTTTAGCTTGAAGCAACATAACGCCGTTTGGTTAAAGCTCCACTCGTGTGTTTTACTGCGGTTTCATAACCGCGCGTGACTTGTTTGGGGGGAGTGGTCTTTCCACAATTGTGTGGATGGATCACCTCTGTTACTAAGTTACTGATAATGTCAACATTAGTCCTGCAAAGAATAACCAGCAAGAGGTTTAATGGTTAAATTGGATTTTATTTGTTGTTACTCGCATGGGAGCACAGAGCTGACCCTGCATAATGTGTATAAATAAACACATCCGTGCAGTCATGTTTAACATTCCCTCCGTCAACCTTCTACTTCACTCTTTACTACTTTTCCACCTGTGGGATTAACTGTGTGGGGAGGCGAAAATGTTTCTTTCAGTGTGACCCGTTAGTGTAGCTGTCGTTGACAGTGCCGCTGACTCTATACCGCCCGCGTGTCTTTGACCTCAGCCTAGTCGGCTGTGGCTAAACGTGCCTCAGTCTGTGTGAATTATTTGTGTGTGCCATGCCTTTAAGGCTGAATCCCGGCGTAATCAAATGCGTCCTAACTTCCTAATGTCTGTGTTTTGGCTCCGTGGCAGGTGATAATAAACGTAAAGGCCTGCAGTGGGTGGTAGATGTGACCATAGCGTACCCCAAAGCGAGACCCATGGACATCCAGACCTGGATCTTTGGCTACAGACCACCTACAGTCACACATGTACACTACAGGTAAGCATACAATGCTGCTCCATTCGTTCCCCCGTCAGGTCATTTTTGCTAAAGTATTGTATAGTTATTGTGATGAAACTGCTGCTGTGGTCTCCTGTCCTCCTCCTCCTCGTATCCGTGTCCTCGCAAGAAGTGTGACGAATCTATATAACCAGAGCCAACCCCAGCTCTTTAATGGAGCTCCACGTCACTCACATTTGGTGTCCAGAGACTTTGAGACCGTTTTGTGTGACTCACGTAAGCAGCGTTTCCGTTATCTCGATGGTGAACTTGAGCTTTATTTGCCCGCTGATAACACAAGTCCACCTCGCATACCTCATGAGTCAGCACAACACACTGGACATAAAGGTTCCAGACCTCTCTGAGCGCCATGAAGACCGATTGTTCATCTCCTGCACTCGTGTGACATTTCTAAGCATTTACAGTCACGACATATTTGAGAGGTTTCGGCTATTGTTTTCCAGGCAAAGCAAATTCAAGTAAATGATAAGCAGTTTATTAAGTAACGGAAATAATTGTTAGTTCCAGCCTTTATTATGTTTCCTTTGTTCCCAGTGTTTTGGAAGCTTTGACAACGATGCCGCTGTTCTCGGTGTACAACGATTCATTGTCGTGTGTAACACAAACCGCGCAAAGAAGTCTCAGCGCAGGTTGTGATCGCAAACGAAACGCGCTGCCCCGGATGTCTCTCTGGCGTCCTCCAGGTTCCCCTCTGTCGCTAATCCGTGCCGCTCCGGGATATGACGAAGGTTTTGTGGATTCGGTGACTTGTGTGCCCTGCTCGGGATGAATGTGGGGCTCTGTGCGTTGTCTCGACGGGGTAGATCACGGGTGATGTAAAACCAAACTCCAGCGGTCAGTAAGCGGAAGTCATGTTGACCCGTGTGTGTGTGTGTGTGTGTGTGTGTGTGTGTGTGTGTGTGTGTGTGTGTGTGTGTGTGTGTGTGTGTGTGTGTGTGTGTGTGTTGAAGATGATTTATGGCTTACTGGCTCGTCTCTGGTGGGCTGAAGCTAAACACTAATTGAGTATAATTAGAAGAGCAGAGGATGCGCTGGTCTGCCCCCACTCCCCTCCCGCCCACCTCTGGGACTCTAATCAGCCATTGACATGACCAGCTTCCCTCGCTGAGTCAGCAGCTCTTCGGGGGGGGGGGGGGGTGTTTAGACAACGCTTATCAGCCAGACATTGGGAGCATGCATTTTTCTGTTAATCTTTTGCTAGATACGTGATTTGGGTTTTCGTTGCTGGGCTTATTAGTACAGAATAGTTCATTTGTGTGTCCGGTGGTTTCTATGGGCAGTGACCTCAATAATAACCTGCTGACCTGCTTGACCTTTCACTGGGCCACATACGTCACTACTGGGCCTTGACCGATGGGGCGCTGACAATATTCCAGATGAATCCACATCAAGCGTTTTGTTGAAGACTTCCTCTTCCTCGCGCTGCCTCCTCACCTCATCCGTCCTGCCCGCTCTCCGTGTAATCTCAGCCATCCAGATTGCAACATCATAAGCCCTCTGAGTGACAGATGAGACAGCGAGGTGGGCGTGTGGAGGCAGAGGGCAGTAGTGGCTGTTTAAATACATTGAAATCGTTCAATTTCAAATGCACCAATCTCCTCTTTCTTAACTTTTTTTTTTTTTTGTGCTGCCATATTTCTCAAAGTCGCTGTTTGGGACGTATCTGAAAGGTGGCGTGATTTATTGCGTCTCAGCCTGCACGGTCATCGTGTGGCTGCTCTCTACCCGGCTGTCCGCCAGACCAGGCACTCGCGCAGAACTTTTTATTTTCCATGGCTCTTTTCGTCAGCGAGGATTAATATCTCTTCTACGTGTAAATGAAACTGATCTCAGTTTAGTCTTCGGTTTGTTACAAGTAGGCGTCTGAGGAGCTGTTGTTGTCCGCTGTTTGTGGGGCGGGCCCTCTCGGGGATACTTGGCAGGTGATTGGATGAATCATCTTTCAATCGAAATCCCGCGGGTCGAGAGAAGAGCAAACGCCTCTTTTCGTGTTATTGTGTAACTTTGGTGATTTTTATTTTTCCTTTTCGAGTATTTAGGGGACGTGGAATGTTGGCAGGCGATAGTTTGTCTTTGAAAGGCGCGTCCTGCTTCGTACGAGCTAAAGATCAAGGTGCGCTGACATCGGTGTGACCGTCGTCCATATCTACCGCTGACGTTGGTTTTATGGCCTCGTACGTCCGACCCGTCTGCTGATAAGAGGTTGATGGCCCATGCTAAACCTCCACCCTGCTCCTCCCGCACCCTCCGCCTGCTCGCAGTAACCAGGGGAAAGTGGGCTGCTGCCACGTCAGCTCGGATGGAAGTGAGACTGAGTAGAATAGCAAAATATACCAGTGTTATTAAATCTTTAGTCATTTGTTGACTACATACAGACGTTAATACAACACTTTAATAGCGTAGGAAGTTATCACCAGAGGTTTTTATAACTGATCCAGTGTAGCACAAATGAAATACAACCTTTTTATATGTTGTTTGTAATAATTACATTGCTTTAGCTGGTAAAACTGATCGTCTTTCTGCCAAAGAACTGAGAGGATTCAAAGGCAACGGTTTGGATATTTGGAGCTCGGTGGTAGAAGGAGACTGAGAGCAGGCTGGAGACGTGTTTCTCCCCAAGCAACACCGGCCGTTAATTTCAATAATTTCCTTTTGCGGCATTTTGCCCGACGGGTCAGCAGGCCTCACAGGACGCCTTTTGTTTCTCAAGATTTCACAGCAAGACATACGGAGTCCCTGAATGATGACCAGACTCTTCCAGCCAGCAACCAAATTAAATTAGCATCCAGGCCAGTTAGAAGGGGAAACATTACCTTACAAATGAGTTTCAAACAAGGCTGTTACTATGGACTATGATTGTCCCTCTTCATAGATCAATTAATTTGAGAAATATTCCTTCTGTGGAACTGTATTCAATGTCTAAAAAACAAGGCCTGTTTGTTTTTTGCAAAGTGACTTTAGTTACACAGTGATACCGCTTCAGATTGTTCTTAATGGCATCATTGCATCCAACTTCCTCATGTGATATCATCTGTGTTTTAATTGTTGTCTCACAAGGGACTGACTTTCAACATTTAGCCGAAATATTTGTGTGATGATGCCTTTCCGTCTGCAAACAGCACTCGGCACTCGCATGCTTACAGTTGGATTAATGCTTATTTACAGAAGAAACTGCAGCTGTCTGTGACTCCGCCGTGGTGTCCGGTTAACAAGTCCGCCGCTGCCAAGTGGGCTGGGGGTGGAGGCGAGAGTGCTGGCAGGGCCCCGCGCCAGCGTGTCTCCACCAGATCTCCCCCCCTCCCCCCAACACTGCTGCCGGACGTTGGCTCGGTCCAGCTTCTCGAATGGGAGGCTTTGATCGCGGTGACCTGTGGCCCTAATCTGAAATAACCCGTATCTACGGGAGCGAGACGGCGCTGTCAACGTTCCCCGACTAGACGGCAAAAGGTTGAGCACCCGAGGCCGTCGCTCCTCAAACCTCCCGATAATTGTTCCGAGCCGGCTCCTGTTTTCCTTTCTCACGGGATCAGGGAGCCATTTGTTTACGTTTATTTGAGAGGCTTATCGCTGCTGTGAAGGAAAGCAGAATTGTCTCTCCAAAGATGTTCTCCTAATGGGAAGAACATGGGAACGAACGTTCTCCTTTCTGGTGCTTGGAGGGTTTATCGGTGTAACCGGTAAGATGAAAGACACCCGACTCTGTGGGAGAAACATTGCGGAGCGTGTCGCTTTTAACCGGTAATTGCTTTGACCGGTAATCAGCCAATCACGTGGCCACAGCGGCTCGGCTCCCGTCTTGGGGAGGCAGATGCTCTCGGAGGGCCTGGTGTTGCTTGTGGTCCAAAGCTTGTTTCATCTTCTAAAAGTCCGCTTCTTAGAAGTTTAATTAGACAAAGTGGTGGATGTTGGTCCGATTTAGCTTTTTTTTTTATTTAAAAAGTTTTATGGAACTAGGGAAATAAAAGTTGTCAAAGAGGTTCTTGTTCATAGTTGCCAGGAAATCACATTATTAAAGGGTTTTGCTTTTTTTATGTCTAACTTACATTAGTCATGTGGACGCCCCGATGCGTTTCATATTCATCACTTTATGTAGGAGATCATGTCAATACTTTGGAGGAGATTAGGGGTGCATCTACAATTGGTCTCTAATCAACTGAGCGGCTGTTTATATTGTTTGTTAAATGTCAGAAAACAGTTACAATTTCAGTGAGGCGATGATCGATTGAATCATTTATAGTTGCTGATTCCTTTTTTCAATAAGTCATCTCGGCTACATTTGTACCAATTACCAGCATAAATGCTCATTCTGATCCAAGCCGTGTGTATTGATGTGTTCGCACCTGCACAGGAGTGGTGTTCTTAAACTGGATTTAACCAACAAGACATCTGCCTGACATGACTGCTGTTGCATTTAGTTTGGGTGGCTTTTTAAAAATATATATTGAGCCCTCTGGTAATCTGTAACATGTATTCCTGCCCTCTGACCGAAGCTCTCCTCAAAGGCCCGTATGTACTCGTATGGTTGATATGATCCCGTTGGGAGTATTGAGCAAATGTTAAGTGCAGAGGAACTGCTGCTCCGAGGGAGGAGACTGTAACCTCTATTTGAAGGTGACCAGGAGCGCAGCCTGGTGGGGACCCCTCCTGGCTGGAGACCAGACTTCATCGGCACGCTGATGTAAACGTGACCCCGCGTTACTTTCAAGCAACTCGCCAAGTAAAGCTAAATGGACCGAGAGGCACGACATAAATTGAGCAGCGAATTAAATTGTTAAACCAAGTGGGTGTCTTCAGTACCTGACACATTCTGTACTTTTCGCAAAAAGCATTTTCTTCCCACACATGAAAACTCGTCAGGATCTCATCAGCACTTCTGTCTGTCCGACGAGCCGGCCAGCTAATGAATCCACCAAACCTGCTGAAGCTTGAGCAAACAATGCTGTAGTAAACGTAGCGCTCTGCCCTCTGACCCCCCCCCCCCTCAGAGTGTGGACCGCAGCATCCGCAGAGGATCAATGCAGACAGTCCGTGCTGAGTGAGGCCCGGGTAATTCTTTTTCTTTTAGTGTGTGTGTTCATCTCTCTCCCTGTCTGTCTTTCTCCCCTTTTCTCCCTCAGGATGTACCCAATAAAAGAGGTTCCTGTGGAGGCGAAGGCCCTCACCTCCTGGCTGTACCAGAGGTTTGTGGAGAAAGAAGAGCTGCTGACCCACTTCTACGACAAAGGTGTGTCTCACTCATTTTGTTCCAGTTGAATCTGAATTCTCCTCAATTGCATTCAAAGACACATAAACTAAAATAAAGCAGCAGCTATGATGCTTATCTTTTATAACAGAGGCTAAAAGGAAGTATTTGATTAAATCCTATTTGTTGAGTGGGCACTTCTCATGCCGGGAGTTGACTTACCTTTTTGAGGGGCACTATCGCTACAAGACAGTGATATATGTGTGAAAATATTTATTTATCCATTATGGTAAAACTCATGGAACGCAAAGTTGAGATGGGTAAGCATACAGGGATGCGGGACATCAGATCAAAGCCAATTACAAATGTGGTTTGCAGCATGCACCACCGAGGGACGCAAGGACAACTCTCATTATCAAGAAAGGGTGTTCTTCGACTTCAGTTTGACTCTAAATCACAACATCTTGGTGGAACAAATTTGTACAAATATGCGTATGAGCAACGTTCTGATTCCTCTGTATCTGTCTCCCCTCATAAGGATCATTTCCCTCTCAAGACGGCCAGAAGGAGGCCGCGTCCCGACCGATGATCCTGGACCCCGTGTGGCTGTGCGCTATCCAGTCGTTTGCTTTTGCCTCCGCCTACATCTGGTACAGCGTCCTCCAGTACCTCTACTGCTGTCTATTCTGAGCGCGCTGATGAGGCGAGAGTCTTTATTGGACCACTGGAAAAGCCTCAGGATCAGTTGGTGTGTGTGTGGCCCAGCGTCATACCTGCCCCCTACGATGGATGAATGTACATTTACAACAGTGGAGCGACTTCACAGGAACAAAAAAAAGCAAAGGAAAAAAAAAAACATATGAAGAACACAAACACACAGAATGCAAATAACAATACCATAGGAAACTGGTCACAGGCATAGCAGACTGGCACACAGCCCCAACAACACACACTCACTCAAACGGCCTAGCAGAATACTCTCGCACTCGTCACGACACACATTTCGATGTTTACACGTCCTCATACACGTAGACGCTCACAGGTACACGACTTTTTATTCAAAGTGAACAAAATGAGGCTCAGGACACCTGCAGAGGACGCTGTGGACCGAACTCCCTCTGTTCCCCTCCGAGGCTTCAGCCGCAGTAGTTTTACAGAGTGTAAAGTGTGTATGGGACGCGTGTGAGTGAAAATATATATATATATATAATATATATATATGTGTGTGTGTCTAGAAGCATAATGTCTGCCCTTATTCTTCGTCCCGGCGAGAGTTGATGAAGCCCACCGGACGTCTCTTTTCAGCCACTGACTAGCCGGCTGGCCACACCTTCCAGAGCGAGCGGCTGAATGAACGCTGAGCCCGCCGCTCCTCTGGCCTTCATTCCACTGAGGATCCAGGCTGCTCCCCGTCCCAGGGAAGGTTCCTGTGTGGTAGCCGTCACCGTTTTCATTTTCTTTCGTTCTCTTCCCTTGACCGGCATATCGCCACGACAACGGCCATTGTATTTATTGTTGACGTCATTTCTTTTTTTTCTTTTTGTCGAATATATTTCCCGTTCGCCCCCCCGTCGTCGAGGCCGTATTCTGAATTCACAGAGGAAGGAGGTCCATGTTTACACTGGCGGCCCTGCTGAAAGCCTAAAGGGATGGCGGCAATGATGCGGCTCTTGATATGAAGATGTGTTTCTCTGACAGGCATTGAAGGGAGGAAAATGAGACAACGTGCTTATTTAAAAAAAGGTTTAAAAGAAAAAGACTGTGGCACATAGAGCGAGAATTGCAGTCCGATGACCTAAAGAGTAACTCCCTCGTTGTGGATTCCCCTTTTCGTGCTCTGCTCTCCCGACGTGCACACACAGCCATGTGCAGCTACACACAGCAGAGTAGACATCTGTCGCTACAGATCAGCTCAGCGAGCCAGACTGAGAAGGCAGAGACTCCTGTTCCCCCATTGGACTACATAGTTTTCCAAATATTTAAGCCATACGCTTAGTGTCGTCGGTTGGGAAAAAGAAATTCATTTTCTTTTCTTTTTTATAGAAGGCTACCCTAATGTTCAGCTTCTAAAATAGACATTTTGGCTTACAGAACTATAGGTGTCATTACTGTAAATTTACAGCATAACCTGCCTAAGTGAGTGTGCGTGTGTGTGTGGTTGCCCTCCCCCCCGTCCCCCGTCCCCCTTTTGATATTTATGATTCATGTCGTGTTGCTCTTCGACATCAGAGTGTGGCGGCATTTTCCCCAGGAGTGGTCAAGTTTTATTTCATTTAAATTGTCATGAAACTGTCGTCCTCATGTCACCGGTCTGTTTAAATCTTGTACATAACGAAGCTGTGGAAGAGTTTTAATTGTTGGAATCGACGGCAGCGTTTTTTTTCTTTCGTTCCGTGATCATTTCTGGAAAATTCAGTTTTAGATTAAAAAAAAGTCAATGTTTTTAAAAGAAGACGAAAGCAAGGATTTTCCCCTCATTTCTGCGATGACCTTGTTTTTATTGTTGATTTTTTTGCTGACATCAGAGCTACTGTGCGTCCGCGTGCTGGCCGACTCCGGTTTCTAACTTGTACTGTTGTACTTTTTGTTTAAAGTCGTCAGGATTTTAGTGGAACACCTTGAATATCAAGCCTTACCTGATGTGCTGGTGGACCACGATCCCAAATAATGCTGTTTGCTCCCGCCCCCTCTTGGAGAACCTTTTTGTTTTTACAGATGGTTTCTAAGTGTGGAGCTTAATCTGGGCCAGTGAGGAAGGGGAACTCTGGCACGGCCCTGCGAGGACGCCGCTGTTCTCTCAAACCCACTTGTGTTTTTGAGGTGCATTTTGTTTTTGTTTTCTTAGCCTGCTTTTAAATAGGAAAAAAAAAGAAGGGCAGCTATTATGGTCGTCATAAACCAATGCATAAAATGTGCATTTCAGTAGTTTACTGCCCTCCTCGAGTCTGTTTGTTAAAACTGTGTGAAATGAAAAACAAAGGGGCTACCTGGGAAGGTAAAAATGTTAGTGCGCGTCCTCCAGTGGCTCTTTCAGATTCCCCTCCACCGTGAGAGTGACTTGAAATGAAGCTTCATCTTTCTTTTTCTCAACCTTTTTATTCTTTTATTTATTTTAATTTTCTTTTCTTTTTTTCTGACCACGTTTCCAAAGAAGGCAGGGAAAAAATGTTTTCCTAGATGTTTTAGGAAATAAACACTAGGGATTTAAAGAAATTATACTAGAGCTGTCTGTAATTTTCCATTTTGTACTTCTCCTTTAATTCCTAGCTACACAGCCATTTTACAACACAAAAGACGTGCTGGAATAAAACATCATAAAGAAGCCGGACAGTGTTATTCTTTTCTTTAGTGTATTCCTCTGGGTTAGCGTGTGTCGTATGAATGCATTGGACGATTTAAGGGAAGCGTGGTGGTTTCTCCCTGCTTCCTGTCCTGTTTAATCAAGTTTGCTTTGTATTTCTCATACAGGAATTTGTATTGAACAACTCGTCATTTAACGTGAACTCTGCAGAAACCACCAACTTTCACTACACGCCAAACTAATTTATTCTTCTCATACTGTATATAAGCATCCTGGAGGTCCTGTAGATATGTTTAAAAGGAGAGCATCCTTTTTAAACGACCTTTTTGACCTTTTGTTTAAGGTGTCTGTAGTCTGCAAATGTCAACTTCCCCATGTTGTTTTCCCTCTGGAATGGACTCCAGTCAACCTGCACTTGTATCTGCTCGGTCCTGTGTTTGTCTTTGGTGTCGGGCACCGTTATTTTTCTATTACAGAGTTCTGATTTCAGCCATGACACCCAGTCTCTCGGTGTTGGACCAGAGTCTGTGTGAACTCTCGGCGACGGCAGACACTTGACTGATGACTCGACAACAGACGGATTGTTGGCGTTTGCCGTCCGGAACGAACCGAATGTGCATCTGTGAAGTGCTGTGTGGAGAACAGATGTGTGGAGGACAGATGTGTGATGCGGTGAGGTCGGATGGAGGGAACTATACTAGTATGTTCAGGCGTGTGTACTCTTGTAGAAGACCTGTCCAGTCACACAGAAGTGAAAATACTTGTTAGTATTATACATAGTACACATATTTTGTATCGTTGCTTAATGCAAAGCTTTGGTGTTTTTCACCAAAACATGAAATAACTCCGGACGTTACAATTACAATAGAGGCAAACCAGATTTCACTACGACTCTTCTTACCGTAATCTCAGTATAAGCCACTGCTCATAAAAAGGAAACTGCTTTTGTTATAATTGTGCCTGCACTTTGAAACGGTAATGGTGCTCATCTATGAGCTTTAGAGCCAAGCTAGCTGTTTCTGCCTCTTTAGCTTAGCTTAGCATAAAGACAAACGGCTGCTGGCTGCCGCCTCCATTCATGATGGGAGGGGTATCAATCTTCTCGCTCTCTGAGATAAAGCAAATGACAATATTTCCCAAAATACACAACTATTCCTTTTTAATGTTACTTTTATTAGCCTAATTATTCACGCTGCTTTATTGTCTTTTTACTTTTCAGACTCCAATCAGGTGAGTGTGATAAGAGAAAGCATGTCACATTGTGTGTGCATTTGAATCAGAAGTATTTGTATTGCCAACGTATGTTCGAATTTGACATTGAGATGGTCCTCTGAGTGACACCGCAACCAATAAGAGCACCATAAAGCTCCCCAACAGCATCCCAGTGACCCCGGCCGAGATGAACCTGTCGGCCCCTGTTTCTCAACTCTGACGTTTGGGGTCACGCGCAGGAGGCCGCTCAATGTCTGTTTTTTTTAGTTGTTGGTTTCCCGCTCAACCCCCCCATCATTATCCACTGTTCCTGGCCGTTGTCCAAACTCCTCCAGCCCTTTGTAGGAGTGACCTTTGCAGAGGTAGACTGACAGACCAGCTCTGGCGCTCGCTCCCTTGGTGGGGGGGAGGTTTGTCTGTGAGGGGTTCTGGCAGCAGAAAGAGGATCGTTTGAACACAACCGTTACCGAGGCTTCACCGCTGAGCGAGATGTTACTGACGGAGGACTCAAAGCAACGCTCGGAAACATCGAAATTAACTTTTAACAAGAAGATGACTTATCTGCCATATGTAGGGAATCTGAAATGTAATATAAAATGTTCACGATTTTACTCCAAAAAACGGATCAAACCAGTTTCAGCTAGATGATCTAGGTGCAACTTGGGCACGTGATTGCTCAACTGTAATTCTTGTGAGAAGGCCAAATATCCAATAACCCGATCGGCTCAGTGCTGAGGAGATGAAAGTTGCTCCTTCTAAAACTACCATGGCATCTGTGTGTTCACTCAACTTGTATTATAGGCACAAAAAATACATTTGCATATCCAAAAAAGGCAGTTTAAATATGACATACAAATGAATTACTTTTTAATTAATCTTTTAATCATTGGTTTGTAAAATGTCATATTTGTGAAGACTAACTGCCTATACCTTTTTGGTGAGCTTTTCTTGGTGAACGTTTGCTTGATTCATTTTCTAGACTGCTGCTTTTACGCAGCCTTGACAAAAAGTCCTTGGGCTTCAGCTGAAGGTCATAAATCTCTCTCTCTATACATATTATATATATATATATATATAAAATCACATCAAACACATGATGCTAATGTTTTATGGAAACCGTTCAGAACACTAGGCCTATAGAATTCAAAGAGGAAATGGATAGTCATGCAGTTTGTATTGTATATACAACTACACATCTTCTGGTCTATATCAAAATAAATGACCTTCAATAAAAAACATTTAACATTGCTAATACACTGCTACACCAAACCATATACAACCACTACATATATGCCAAACATCCAATTGTATTTAATGGTATGCTTATTTTTCAGTTTTCTTTTTGATTGCCTGTTAAATTCAATTGTTCCAGAAGATTAATCAATGTCCTCAGGCGTATTAGTTAAAATATTCCCACATGTATTCAAGTGAGACCTTGAGAAATCTATTGAACATTAATGAAAAACTATATTTTCCCTAAAAATGTGAGTGCATCTATTGATCCCAACCTCATTTCGTGTAAACGTGTGTCCTGGCCGTGTTTTTGGCGCCACCGCGTGGTGACGTGGGAACGCGTCATCTACCCGCTCTATTCTCGCGGGGTTCAGACGCCTAGCAACCTTTTAACTTGTATCTTCGCCCTGTCCAATCAGGAGTCCGCTTGGAGACGCAGCGGACCAATCATTGCAGAGGATTTGGGCACCAATTTAAATTGAGAGCAAACGCTTCCTGTTTTGAAAAGAAAAGCCAAACATTTGGTCTATTTCTGCATCTTCATCGGCAACAAAAGCATCCACAGCACAAACGTAAAGCCAAACAGTAATTCGGAAGTTGCTGGTTTAACTTTACGTTCAACTACAACCCAGCCGTAACGTCCGGTAACGTTGGATTCGGTTTTTAGGAAAGATGCCGTCCCGTGTTGAGGACTACGAGGTATTGTTTAGTATCGGCTCGGGCTCATATGGAAGGTGCCAGAAAATAAGACGGAAACACGATGGGAAAGTGAGTAATGTTCACACATTCGGTTCACCTGTACCCAACGTTTACCGGCGCGAGGGAGGTTTTTTTCCCCCGTTGAGCAGTTAATTTAACGTGTTTGGGGTTTAAGGGGTCTTTAGACGCCATTAAAATGGATGTAATATCAATAAAAACAAGTTTAATCCAGGCAAAAAACAGACCCAGGTGTATATGATTAAGTCAATAATGTAGAATGAATGGGGGCTTCACCTCTAAGGTTGAATCTAGAGGGTTATGGGGAAATGGATTCAGTTAACGTTAATTATGTGTCTGACAAGTGCAAAACCTGTTGCTGAAGAGCAGCCGAGGTGTATGACTTAAAAAATAACATTCAATCAGGCACAAAAAACCCTCCACTGGTACTTCATAGTTCCGGTGTGACCCTGAGCATTTGGTGGCCATTGTTGCATCGAATTTAGCTGACACTTTAATCCAAATTGACTTCCAATAGGTGCATTCAACCATGATGGTACAGACAACAAGAATCAAAAAAGTACAATTTCTTTAGGAAAAGCCAAACTCGAAAGTGCTATAAGTAAGTGCCAACCGTCTTTAGTTGGTAAACATAAGATGGATATTCCCATCATGTAACCAACTTTTTAAAGGCTGATTAGTTCTTTGAATAATTGTCCCCAGATCCTGTTGTGGAAGGAGCTGGACTACGGCACCATGGCAGAGAATGAAAAGCAGATGCTGGTGTCTGAGGTGAACCTCCTAAGGGAGCTTAAGAACCCGAACATAGTGCGGTACTACGACCGCATCATAGACCGGACTACCACGACTCTGTACATCATCATGGAGTACTGTGAAGGTGGAGACCTGTCCAGCCTTATCACCCGGTGCATCAAGGAAAGGTGACTACGATCCCCTTGCCTTGAATACCACAATGTACTGCAGGCGTATGCGCGTTGTGAAAGATACTGTTTATGTTTCCTTTCTTTCTGCATCCGTGCTCCCCTGATGTATCAGTGGAAATTAAGTGCGTATTTTTCCCGTGGCAGGCGTTATTTAGAGGAGCAGTTTGTCCTGCGCGTCACGGCACAGCTCACGTTGGCCCTGAAGGAGTGCCACAGACGCAGCGATGGCAGAGCGGCGGTTCTTCATCGAGACCTGAAGCCAGCCAACATCTTCCTCGACATCAGACAGAACGTCAAGCTCGGAGACTTTGGCCTTGCAAGGATCCTGAACCATGACACCAGTTTTGCAAAGACATTTGTGGGGACACCTTACTACATGTCGCCAGTGAGTTGTTTAATCCTGTTGGTCTGTTTTTTTTGGCTGCCTTTTTTTTTTTTAGGGGATAATTAGCAAATGTGACCTGATCTCTCTGCTTAGTAGCCACGTTTTCAACTAACTCGTTTCTTTTCTTTCAGGAACAAATGGACCGAATGTCATACAACGAGAAATCTGATATCTGGTCACTGGGATGTTTGCTGTATGAACTGTGTGCATTGTCGTAAGTAAAAAAAAAGAAAAAAAGAACATGTTTATATATTTTCATTGCCTTTTCTTTAGCCGATTTGTTGAATGTGAATCTGACCTGTTTCCTTGATTCGTCCCGTTTAGCCCTCCGTTCACTGCTTGCAACCAAAAAGAGCTGGCGGAGAGGATCAGAGAGGGCAAGTTCAAAAGAATTCCATACCGCTACTCTGAGGAACTGAACGCCTTAATCTGTAAAATGCTCAACCTGAAGGTTAGAAATTAATTATTTTGTCAGAAGCTTTTACTTATGTTTTCATGTAGCTAGAGTTCAGTAGTGTGTCTTTGTCGATAGGACTATCTGAGGCCCTCTGTGGAGTCCATTCTCCAGAGCAGCCTGTTGGCTGATGCTGTTGCTGAGGAGGAGAGGAGGGCACAAGTGCGACTCCGAAGGAGGTCGGCAGACTCTGACTGTCCCCTTAACCGGCCGTCTGAACCGGCGCCTACCTCTGCTGCTGAACTTGAACTCAGGAAGCAAGCCGTGCAAGAACGAGAAAAGGCCCTGAAGGAACGCGAGGAGCGGCTGGAGAGTGAGGCTTCTTTTCTAAGAGATTATAGTTCACCTGCAACCGGGGGTTTTAGCACATGGAAAAACTTTATTTTGTGGGAAATAATTTTCAAATATCCATGGCCACTTGTAAAATGGCATTTAAGCATCTTTATAAAGTGACTAGGGGTGATTGTATTGAGGCCTAAAAGATACATTTTCTACAGGTAAACTCGTAACTGGAACAAGCATTTGTGTATTGCAGCCAAATGTTATAAAAGTGTTTTTCTCATTGCAGAAAGGGAGCAGGAGCTTTGTCTTCGTGAGCAACTGTCAAATGAGAGGCTCGCCAGGTACATTTTCTTTAAGGCTAGAAATGCAACAATCAACGCACTTTTCCTATTGTGACCATCCAACAATGTTTATCTCACCAACTGATCTTGGCGTTCATTCCATCTCCCAAACTGCTGTTACAGAGCAGAGAGCTTACTGAAGAGTTACACCCGTCTGCACAGGCCGAAGGATGTGGAGCCGTTCTATGGCAGAGACATAGGTATGGGAATTAGACTGGGGCCTCTGGACTTACTAAATCAAGACAAGAACTGAGCAGAGTTTTTATGGGATCGTGCTTCCGTCTGCAATGTGGACCTAAATCGACTTAATTTATTGCTTTTTAAATCATGTAAATTGTTATTTTTGTACATCAATAAATTATTTTTACACACCTGACAATCTGAACTCTAGCAGTTGTGTTGGAGACTGTTATCGGGTCCTGACCTGACCTGACGATATAGAGTCGATCCTTGTTAATCAGTGACTCCTTACTGTTTGGTCCTAGATGTGGAGAACCTCTCGCCTGGCAAGAAGAAAGTCCACTTTGCCGGTGAGAGCAAAGAAAACCAGCGGCCCAAAAGCCACCGGAGTGAGTCGTCCCAGGAGCTGATTTCGAGGAGGCTGAAGGCGGCGAAGCTGCGTGCTTAAACACTGAAATGTGAACAAAATGGAAAAGGTCTTTAATTTCAAGGGCAGAAGGACTGTTAAAATAGAGCAACTGAAGGAGTGATTTGGATTTGAATCCAAAACAAAATAGAAAACTATTTTTAGGACATGATTGATAAAATGAAAAAAAACTTCCTGTTGTGATACTAACTGCTGAATGATTGTGACGGGTAAAAGGTTTTATATTACATTCCCTGTTAACCACTTGTTTTAGTTTTAAATTATTACGATACAATAAGAACATTGTTTATCCTGAATTGCATTTTGCCAAAGATATTGAGCAGGTGTAGTGTATATGTACTATTTATAAAAAATATATATACATGCACACTTTGCCAACCAAGTTTTTTTTTTTTTTTTCAATTTCCACAATTTACCACAAATGCTCTCTAGTGTTTCATAAGGGAAAACCTCCCACAAGAGGTCGTCAGTTACCCATGAAAAGTTGGCTAATCAATGGAGACCAATGATGATTATAGACAACAATGCAATGGGTCTTCACACCTGAAATCATTTATTGATTAAAGTGCATGATCAAAGGGGAGATTTATAATATCTTTTTTTTATAATAGGCCATTGCGTTGTAGTTGATTGAGTTAAAAGATAAACGAGATAGCTTTCTAGCAACGATTAGCAATTATTATTTGTTGTTTACTTTGGTCTTAAACTATTATAAAGTACTGAATATATTTCTGTTCACAATTATTACATTGTTACCAGTAAAACATATTCTCAACCATAAAACAAGTTATTAAATGAGACAAAGAAAACAAAATGAGACCGTCGACCAATATTTAACAAACATTTATACTAGGATGTATTGAAATCTTTTTAACTTGCTGAATGTTCGGTGATGAAAGTCACTCAACTCATCAATGAAGAAGGCTACTGAGGAAAAGCGCACACTTTCCCCTTTTTGCAAACCCATGTTTGTTGATGTTAATTAGGGCTTCGAAATGCGATACAGATACTTAATCAATTTACAGTAAACATTAATCATCGCGAGACTACAGGCGCGGTCAGCGTGCTTAGCAACCGCTGTCGTTTGGCTTGTTCACTCCGCCCACCTGGGAGAATTGCGCAATCTGACCAATCGAATACAAGCTTTTGTCCTCTTCGCCAATAGGAATCGCCCAGGGGCGTGTCATCGTGGTGCTGCGTTCCGTGTGGAAAGTTTACCGGCTCGGGTGCAAAGTTTCAGCCGTTTGCAAACCGAAGCTCGTCGGCAAACGTATCCGGAATATCCGTGTGTCGACAACAGTCTGTTTCTACGGTAGCTAGAACAATTGGCCCGAGGCATTTTACCCTTGGTCGTCTTCAGACCCTAGCCGAGTGATGCTGCCGTCGCTGGGTTACGGTGGTGTGTAAAGACGCTGTTAGCATCGATCGTATTGTCTGCGGGAGCCAGCTAGCTTAAGGTAAATCGTTAGCCCCGAGCTGTGTTAAAACGAAGAGCTAGCTAACGTTAGCCGATGTCCCGGCGAGCTCGTTAGAAAACTACAACCAAAGCGTTATTCGACCTTAACTAGGACACAAAAATGACTTGTGAGCCTAATCGCGTGCGGCTGCTATGCATGCTCTCGTTGACGTTTGCTTTTTTCATCGTGGAAGTGGTGGTCAGTCGGATGACTTCGTCTCTGTCAATGCTGTCGGACTCCTTTCACATGTTGTCGGACGTCATCGCGCTGGTCGTCGCTTTGGTCGCGGTGCGATTCGCCGAGAAAACCCACGCGACCGACAAAAACACCTTCGGGTGGATCCGGGCCGAGGTGATGGGGGCTCTTGTCAACGGCCTCTTCCTCACGGCGCTGTGCTTCACCATCGTCCTGGAGGCTGTGGAGCGTTTCACGGAGCCCCACGAGATCGAGACTCCGCTGGTGGTCGCCGGGGTCGGCGCCGCGGGGCTCCTGATCAACCTGCTCGGGCTCTGCCTGTTCCGCGGGCACGCCGGCGGAGGACACGGACACTCCCACGGAGGTCACTCTCACGGGAATAAGAACAAGAGGGGGAAAACCGGGAAGTCCCAGAAGGCTGGCAACGGGTCCTCGGGAGAGGAGACCAACAACCTGGTGGCGAGTCACAACAGCCCGGGGGATGCGAGGCCGAGAAACGGTACGTAACGGTCAATGTGTGAGTGTGTGTTGTTATTTCTGCTCTCCCTATTTAAACATGTAATTTAACCGTAAAGTGTGCTGTGCACATTCCTGTAAAGGGCCCCAACATTGGTCCACCAGCATTGTGGGCCACACTTTGTCTCCATTGTTCTGGTTGCATAACAGTAGTGTCTTCAACGTACCTGGAGGACAACCTGTCTCAGTGACTAATCCTTATTGTCTGTGGAATTAAAACCAACGCCTTTGTTATCAGATATGTATTTTAGGGGGGGAGGGTGGAGGGGCGGTATTCTATCCTTGGGAACATGGTCATCTTCACTGATAAGCTTTCAGGCTGGAAAACAATGGCCACTATCAGGTGGCTTATAATTATTTCTTGAAGCTGCTGTCAGGCTCGGCCAAGTGTAACATCCAGTTTTTCACAAGTTCCAACTTGTAAGTTAAGCGTCTCATCGATCAAAACTCTGCACGCTCTCGTGCATTACTCACACTGCCCACAGTTTCTGAGGAAATATACCTGAACTGAACCTGCAAAGCACCCGGGCACCCACCCCCGAACAGACGGGTTGAACCCATACAGAAAACCCAGACTGTTTCAATAAGTGGAGCCTCCCCTCCCCTCCGGCACCGGGTTACTGGGTCATACATCAGTGTAACGAAGGAGCCAACGAGCCATTAGCCGCTGATGAATGACCCAGCGGGGTCCCAGCATGGAGGAGAGCAGCCATTGCTCAGGTGCTGGGAAAGATTGAGAATTGTTGGCAAGAAGGCAAATCACCAGTAGGGTCCACTCAATGGACTAAATGTCTTCGTAAATTGACAGCATCCCTCTGCCTTTTTGATGGATCGGCTGCAACACGTTTCACCTGATAACACTGTAGTTCTGGCATTTTTGTGTCAAGTTTCAAATGGTCTTGTGCTTTGACCCCAAATGATGCAATTTAGCAATTCAGCAACTGGCCGCCATTGATCTTATCAGCACCTCGTAGCTTGCTGGCTAATTTGTCCGTGGAACTGCAGTGAGCTTGTTGGGCTTGTTTTATGTTTTTTCTGAAATTTCTAATAGAAATATTTCTGTTTTTGAGACTGTGTTGTCTTTATCTATTTTAAATATGTAGTGTTGATTTATAAAATGTCCACTTCAAGTTCTGGTAAACTTATTTACCCTTTTTTTTTACCATCAGAAATCAGCTCTACGGACAGCGCAGATGTGCAGATGAACGGCAGCCCCCACTTTGAGGAGATGGAGCATGACGCCGCGTCGCAACTCAACATGCGCGGGGTTTTCCTGCACGTGTTGGGCGACGCCCTGGGCTCTGTCATTGTGGTGGTCAATTCTTTAATCTTCACCTTCGTGTGGCAGCCCTGCGGAAAAGAGGAGATGTGTGTGAACCCGTGTATCAACAGCCACATCTCGGACCACCAGCATGTCAACCACACGCTGGTCAACCTGCTGGAAGGTACCACCATGTCTGCCATGAAGTACGCCGGACCCTGCTGGGTTCTCTACCTGGACCCCACGCTCTGCATCATCATGGTGTGCATCCTGCTGTATACTACCTACCCGCTGCTCAAAGAGTCCGCCCTCATCCTCCTGCAGACCGTGCCCAAGCAGATCAACATGAACCGGCTCAACCAGCGCCTGCTGGGCCTGGAAGGTGTCCTGGCTATCCACGAGCTGCACATCTGGCAGTTGGCCGGCAGCCGCATCATCGCAACGGCGCACATCAAGTGCCACGACCCCACGTCGTACATGGAGGTGGCCAAGCGCATCAAGGACTTCTTCCACGACGAGGGCATCCACGCCACCACCATCCAGCCCGAGTTCGTCACGTTCAACTCCGAGTCCCGGGACTCCCTCTGCGAGCTCTCCTGTCGGACTCAATGTGCCCCCAAGTTGTGCTGCGGCTCCGCGGACAAACCCAACGCGGGCTCTGATAAGAAGGCCAGCAGTTACTGCAAAGCCGCTTCCGCTTCAGGCCTGGAGGTGATCGTCGAGACCCCGGAGCAGGCTGCAGGGGTGGAGGCGGGCACTCGGTCAGAAGCCGCGATCACCGTCGCTCGAGAGGTGGAGTCGTCTCTGTGAGATGGAGGGGATGGAGAGAAACGGAGGAGGAGATGGAGAACCACCACACTGGACTGAAATCATTGTCATGGACGCTGTATTCTATCTGACCCGCGGCTCTGTCGTGGCCCGAACGAGAACTCCTTTTTCCATAGCTTGTGTTTTCTGTCATCACCCCTTGTTATGGCAAAAAAAAAAAGTCCTCCCGTGTCCTCGTACTTGAGTCATTCCTGCCATCTTTCCTCTCTTTTGTATACCCAATTTCATTCCCTCTCTCCCAGACTCCCCTCCGTCTTGTCGGCCCCTCTCTTGTTGCCGTGGCGGTGTGGCATGTCGGGGCTCACATGCCGTATTTCCTCCAGAACTGGAGCGAGGCCCGCTTAGTGTTCCCCGTCAGCATCTCGTCCCGTGGTGTTTCTGTGCCAAAGCTTCTCACTGCAAGACTGAAGGGATCCGAGAGACGGTCTCTCCTCTTAAAGGACGCACAACACATGCACATCACTCGGTTATGTTGTTCAGCCTTTGGGCCTGTTGGCAAAGAGAATGCCTCTTTTGTTTTTAGCGCTGGCTCTGAGCCATGAGTTATACACTATTGCCCCAAATGTTTTTTCTTTAAGTTATTAGAAAGGATATATTTCTCTCTGTAAATGCTGTTTGTAATGTTTAGTTTGATTAGCTAAATTTCTTGCAAATTTTCTGTCTCAAACTGTTTTGACAGACCATCTATGCTGTAGTTAGTTTTCTAGTGATTTTTTTTAGTTTTTTGTTTCTCAAGACTCTTCTCTGGCTGTGGCTAAGTTTAAGTTGCAGTCATTCGTTAATACAAAAGGCGCATCAACACCGCTCACCTTAAAACACAGGACGACCTGCCGCCCGCACGCAGTGCGACTGAAACTCTCTTGTTGGCCGTCACAAATCTAATGTGTTCGGCGTGTCGTGACCAAATGAGAACTGGATGCTATTAACGAAACACTCTTTGTATGAATCTTTGCTGGAAATCTTTCTGGTGATCCCTGTTGATTTTCATTAATAATCCCCATGAATGTTTTTCGGCACCATCTCACAATCCACGCCGAGGAAAGTTCTTTTAAAAAAAAAAAAAAATCTATATATTTCTACGACGTTCTCCTACGTTTGCATGACCAAACCGAGACCCGGTGTGTTTGACCGTGAGCAGCTCCACCAAGCTGCTAACCAGTGCCTGCTGGTATACTCCAACTTTACTCATAACCGTGGGGGAATGTCTCGTAGTTGTTTTGTGTCCTGCTTTGGACAGTTGAGTTTCTTTGCTGAATTAAAGTTCATATGGTGGCCTTTGCAAATGGGTCAATTTTCCCTCATCACCACTGATATCATTTGAAGGTGGTCCATTGATGTGGTTCAGAGTCCCACTCCTGAGTAAATGTGTATGCAATATAGAAATGTATTATGATGCATTCTTTCATGTTTGGTTACTTTTATTCTGTTTTTATTCTGAGCTCTATGTGAAAACTGGAGGAAAAAAAAGTGTTTTTTTAATTTTAGATATGACATGTCAGCTGATGTGTTTTTGATATACTATATATCTACAGTACCTGTCCAATGTGTCATTGTGAAATAAAAAAAGAAAAATGGCTGTTTGGCACAGTTGATAAACCCAAATTTGTCAGCTGCCTTATTTGTAAGCTTTTCAGTCCAAGATAATGTAGTTCCTTTTTCAAATGTCATTCACGGAAACAAGCAAAGTTGCAAACAAGTAAGTGAATGTAAAACGACTGCGATGAGATGAAAAATAACCATAAAGAGATGTTGTGATTACTAGTTTTTTTTTTTGTCTCTTTCACCTCTACAGGCTGTTTCTGAACTACAGTAAATGGTCCGTGTCTGGGGGGGCTTGCTGCCTCATAATCTGTACCTGTCGCCCATTTGGGACAGTTTCTACTGACTAAAAGAAAGGATATTAAAGAGAAGATTTAGGTCTGAAGAAGGACGCGTAATTCACTACATCCACTTAGCCTACGTTCCACAACTACCTATTAAATATACACAAACGGGAAGCATCCCAAAACACTAAAGGTAGACGTTAATCAGATCCTTTATTCCAATAAATGAATGAAACCTCACTATACCTATATAAATATATATAATTTGTTATTTGTTATTAGATTATTGTGAGTGATGTCTTAAATGAGCAGTGTTTGTTCTGTAGTTATGTTATAAGCAAACATTGATCTTCAAAAATATATGAATGTATGTGACCAGACTATGACTTCAAGAGTTTTTTTTTTTTTGTTCACCACCTATTTGAAATACAACTGTCATTAAAAACCACACGGACAAACCAATTGCATGTAAAGCTCCCGCACGCTGTGTGTGGCTCGTGTTCTGTGTAAACAGTAATGATGGTCAGAGGGAGTTGAGTCCGTGATCACAGCATCTCACCACTCGGCTCTGCGGTGTGAGGCAGCGGACGCTTCGGTTACACACACACGCACATACACACATGCACACGCGTGGCTTAGGCTCAGCGGCTGCTGCTTGTGAATGTGCACGGCTGATGGCACTCATGTAAGGGGCCCCGGGTGGGGGGGACCACCTCTACTGTCTGTAGACAGTAGAGGTGGTCTGTCTGCATCCACTGCACAGCCAGCCCTCTCTTGTGCGTTGTTGTGCGCTGCTAATTCATAACAGTGGATGGGTTATGCTTTTTTTTGTAACATATTGATTAAGTGATTTACACATTTGAGCAACATGTCTGTTGTGTGTGTGTTTGTCTGTGTGTGTCTGTGTGTGGTCGTGGCCACGCAATTTTGGATCTGTCTCTCTGGCTTTGTCCCTGTGATTTTCTAACAGGGTGAGCAGGGCACGAGGCTG